TGCTGGGGAAGGAGGAGGTTTGGCTGCTAATGTATACAGAGCCTTTAGGGAATGACATTTTCTGAAGTTAGACAGTAGTGACAATGTACAATATAGTGAGTATACTAAAAACACTGAATTTTATCCTTCAAAGAGCTAAGTTACTGTATTTGAATTACGGGAATCTTTAAAAGATACAATTTAACTTTGAAATGTTTTGTTTGGGTTCCTGGTTCCTCTTTGTCCCCTTTTTGAAACTGGGTTGGTTTTTTTATAAATCTTCTTTCTACACAATGTATTTAACTAATTGTACTTGAGTTATCAGTGGCTTAGATTTCTAATGGCCTTTTTATTAAGTAAAAATAATACATGGACACAAAATATATATTGTACCATTAACATCTGCATATTGACATTTAAGACCAAGAACTATGTTTATATTAGATTATTAGGATTTATATAGTGATTATATATATGTGCAGTTTACTGATAACCTATGCATAAAACCAGTAGCCATATATTAGGGAATGAGTTCATAAAATTCACCAGTCAATCTCTTTGCTGAAACTGTATATGTAAAATATCTGTGTTTTAATGGAGAGATAAGAAAATGAAGAAAATCAAGGATTTTCTAAATCGTCACAAAGCAGCTTCTGTAAATATTTTAACTAGCTGCTGAGATCTCCAGAATTAAATATTTTGCATTTTATTTCATCCCTATGCTAAAAATCATGCATTAAAGTGTATGCGATAATATACAGGGCATACTTTTATTCAAATTCTTGTCTTAGTTCTTCATTGAAATTTTTAGCAGAATTTTTCTTCTTTTCTGAAAATAGTGATTTTACTCATGCACTAGTTAAGACAGCTTTGTGTATCTTGTTTAGACACCATCAAGGAGCTCCAACCATCTGGTATGTCTAGACGGACACTCCAATGAGTAGAAGTTAGAAGCCAGCATCCCACTCATTTGAAATGTTTTATATCATGGACTTGAAAATCCCAGCCAGTCCTTAAAGGATAAAATAACTTTTAAAATTTTCATTTAGTAAATCAACTGACATTCATTGTCAAATAGTCTACAAGAAAGTTCCACTAGCATTGTGTAATTGTATATTTGTGTATTTATTCCTAATGATTACATTCCAAAAGCAGTATGCTTAGCAGCTGTTTTTCATAGGGCTTTATCAAGTTTACTATTATTATTTTATCCAGGCATAACTGTGTAATCTTAAATAAGAGCTATGTGCCATTCAACTACTAGTGAATTATTCTAACCAGATTCTTTTCTTATTCTGTACATGAATTTTTGCTCTGTTGGGAGATTAGTAACCCAATTTTTATTTCAAAGGGTAGCACATACCCTTTGAACATTTGGAGTATTAGTAATACATTCATCAAGTAATGTCACATATGGAATTAAATTCTACAAGCAGATCACATAACTGCAATTTATGCTCCCATTTTTACCTCCAGATGGAAAGAAGAACCACACAACCAGAATGACTCTTCCCTGGTCATTCATTATACGTTAGAGTACAAGGAGAAATGCATGGGTAATTGAAGAGCTAATCAACAGTTTGATTATCTAAGTCTGATCCCAGTAAGAAACTGAGAGTTAAACAACAACTACCCTGATGTTCACCGAGATGATAACAATAACCACCTCAACATGCTTTTATGACTTAGTTTTCAAACACAGACAAAGGGCAATAATAGACAGCATATGTGACCCCTTAAAGATAACAACCATGCCATTTTCTTTCCGTGGAGGAGGAGATCAAGAAGAGGTTTACATTGCACTGTGAGGTATTTCAGTTCTAAGAGTTTCCTGATAATAAGGAATTTACAACCCTGGAATCATTTGTTGAGACAGAATGTCTTTCAAGATGTATGGAAAGAAACATAAGTGATTGGCATCTAAAAGCAAAGTAAATCAAAGATTTCCGTGTAGAAATGGAATTCCTTTCTTTGTAACAGACTGCCCCAAACCATTTCTTAAAATCTTGAGATGGAGTCTCCCTATGTTGCCCTAGCTCCCACCTCAGCTTCCCAAGCACCTGGGACAAAAGTCCCTACTTCCAAAAGTGTAAAACACAGAGAGGGGTGGGGAGAGAATCCCTAATATTTGAGTTCTTTCTATTTGCTGAGCAACATATTTTACATTTCTCTCATCTAACTTTCAGCTTATTTCTAACAGGTCCATCTCATAGATGATAAAACTCCTTTCAAACTTTGCCCCATTTTTATGCCTCTCCCTATATCCCTCTAGTGTAGCCAATGACCAAGAATTTCATCAAAATATGGTGCAGCATCTGCCATTCTGCTTCAAACCAGTGAGAGGGGGATTAAGAAGTTAACTCATATGCCTGATGAGGCCAAAGAAAAACTAGCAACCAGCCTTGGCCTTCCATTATCCAAGGAGTCAGAGAAAGTCCCACCCAAATTCAAGTATGTTTTTCTCCATTCTGATTCAAGTACAAAAGTCTTTGCTAAAGCCTAAGGAAGAGCCACCTGTCAGACTGGAAAGGGTACAAGCTACTTTATAAATGCAAGCTCATAAATTTTAATTAGAAAAAATTACTTTGTTACTTTATTTTCAAGTTAAAACCCTGTTTTGATACTTTGTACATGAAGCAAATTAAACTTCACCCTTTCAAAGTTACTTTGCCCAGAATCAGGGAAACCTATCAAATGTCATTTGCAATTTCCTCAAGCAGACCTTCAGGATGGATTTCTGCTGTGACCCTCCTGCCCTCCTCTCATGGGACACTGGACTACCGGGAGAGTCTGTAATGGAAGATCCTCCTATGCTAAAACACTTCCAAAACCCTGAAGAGAATACATGGTTTGTTAAGTCAAATGAGAAGAGCGACTTCCATGATTTCATGTAACCCGGGCGTTGAGATACCTCTTCCATGTTTAACATGGAAACTAGTTTGATTTCAACAGGGATTGACAAGGCATTTCTAGTTTTGGACTTTATGGCAGATCAGTCTCTTGACCTAAGGACATGCAGCTAACCTCTTCCCTAGAGAGTACTGCATTTGTGACGGAACAAAAGCCTTTTATTATTATTTTTTAAAATATCATTAACTGTTGGTCAACATATACAACAATTTAGAAACCTGAGCATCTGGTTCAATCCTCAGTCAACAATGTATGTCATCTTCATGTTTTCTTAATACACTTTGTATCAACCCTTTGCTTCACAAGCCTGCTGCTACCAGAGGGTTCCTTTTTTTTTTTTTTTTTTTTTTTTTTAGAAATTCTCCCTGTGCCTTCAGCCTTCAGTGTGGTGGGCTCCATTCTACCTCTCTGAACTGTGAAGCATTTATTAATTCCTCTCTAACACATCCCCCAAAAATCCTTCAAATAATCCTCAACTATCTTAACTGTTAAATTCATTTACACAGCTAGTTATCCCTCCATTTGTTTCAAATTTGAAAGATCACCAAGCAAGCCATGGTGGCTCACATCCATACTCCCAGTAAGACTGAGGCATGAGAATGAGTTCAAAGCCAGCCAGAACTATATTGTGATTTCTATGTCAGTGTGATTTCTCGAGCTGTAGACTGAGATCTGATCTCAAAAAAAAAAAAAAGTAAGAATCAGTGCCTCTCAGGAGTAGTGATAACATGAATAGTCTCAGATTTAGGAAGGAAATGAAATGCCAGCTACATTATTCAACATTAATGACTCATCTGAAGGGACAATATCTTAAACCAATATTGCCTGCATGCAGAATATAAGGGAAGGCAGTGTTTCTTTCAAACATAGATAAATTCATGCCACAGAAACAGTAAACCCAGAGAAGAAAATATACCTTCGTTTAGTGTTTGACAATAACTGCTTATGTAGAATACATTTTGTCAGAAGGATGAGGTGTGAAACATACCTGTCAAGACCATTGTTGAAGGAAGAAAGTAATTGCAGTTTTAAAAAAAAAACTTTAAAAAACTGAAACAAAAGACATCCAAACCTACAACTTCTTCCAGAAGCTAATGGAAAAGTGACCCTTAAGTGTGTATGTCCATGAGATGCACAGCATTCTGTAGGATTATGACTCAGAAAGTTCCCCTATCTTTAAGGCCACCAGTATAATACATGGGGGAATGGGGGAGGTGTGGAACAAGTTCAAAATGATGGTATTTTTTCAGAATTAGTCTAACAGAAAGTTCATGCTGTGAGATAGCTCAAAGAGAAGACTGGCAAATCCTTGATCTAACACTAGGAGGCACTCGGGTTCTTCCAAGGTATATGTTCATAAACTGAAGATAAGAATCTGCTTCCTCCCTCCATCAAGCTATTGCTTGGAAACATACTAGTCCAAACATCCTGTTTTGGTCAGTGATTTCTTTTAAAATAATTTAATAATCAAAACTTGATGTAATGTCATGCTAATACATTTGTTTTATTTTTTAGTTATTGTTTTGCCACTTAAGGAAAGATGTTAACATTTAAAAAAAAAAAAAAAGTGACAAAATATGGGGCCAAAATTAAAGCCAGGAAAAAAACCAACGATGTAACTTAGAAGTCTATACAAAAATAACTGGCTCTATGTAATTAAGTATTAATATAACCCAACAGATCTAATAAAAAGAATACAAAGGAACATAGCTTTGTGTAAGAAAAGGCGAAACCACTAAGTTCTTTGAGGATACCATCTATATAAAGCCTTATCAGAAAATTATATGATTCCATAGATCATTTCCAAGCAGTGTTTTAACTGGAGCTACAGAAGATTGCCATATACTTAATAATAGAAGAAGAGATGGTCTTGTCAGGATAAGTCAAACTACATTACAATAAACCAAATCTTGCTTTTTTTTTTTTTTTTGTTCACCAGTAAATAATTTTATAAAAAAGGGGTTTATCACAGCAGATATTGCCCTGCCAATAAGAATTACTAGGTAAAATAATATCTATATCCTGCCCTAGATTAAGATGATTCTTAATTTAAGGACTTTCATTTAAAACAAACAAAAAACAACAACAACAACAATAAAAAGTCCTGGCAATGAATCATTTAATCAACTGGTATTTATTGCACCTATAATATTGTCAAGGATTGTTCTCAATTTTGAGATACATCACTGGACAAATATTCAAAGGCCTAATCTGAAATTCACAGAACTATGGAATGTAAGGGCTCAGCTTCTCATGTGTCCACACTAATGGACCAAGGATCGATACCTATGGTCTACTGAATGTCTCAGAGACCCAGGGGAAGAGGGACCTGGAGTAGAGCTCCAAAGCTGCTTCTTAACCTGAAGGGACAGATGAGGGTGCTGTAAGCCTAAGGAATAAAACATAACATAAATGTGACCCCAGAAGCTGTTATTCTGGAACTAAATTAGTCCTTTCTAACAAAGCCCTTAAAGTTCACAAAGCAAGGTTATTTTTAACACTGCTGTGAGACAAGGCTGAGTCATCATATGCTGAGGAGATCAGAACTTTGTGGTAAGGAAAAGTAATAAATCTAAATTTAGGGACATTCTCTCAGGAGAAAGATAAATTCTTCTGTAACCTTGATTAGTTTTTCTTTTGATGCCTTTGGATGCTGACTTAATAGGAAAGTCAAGGTAATTACAAATGATTTTTATTTTCAATTAAAGTGATTTTTCCCCTTCCTGTAAAATAAAAGGCAGTTCAAACTTTTAAGAAGCCTGTCTCTTTCTTACAGGATGAAGAAAAGCATAATGAGCCAATTTCAATACCAATGACGGGTAATAATACACACAGTTCCATGTGAAGGAGATGGGAATTATAGAATCTACTAGAGGAACGCTAGAAATATATCATCAATATCCTGCTGTGTTGACTCACTGCTTTACAATTCAGTAGCTTCCAGGAATGACATGGCAGGTCCAAGAATGTTACCATCAATACCAATTACACGTCATATCCTCATTCAATGATTCATCACTCAGTTATGCTATACAGAAAGCCACAGAAATACCTGACAGCACCCACGGCATACAGATTTAATTACAATGTCACAATTTGCATTCATGAGAGTGAACAAATTGGAAGGTATCAAATCATGGCACTGAAGAACCAGGAACTCAGTCAGCAGCATGTCTTCCAATTTAAGACCTGTTTTTAAATTGGCTAAGTAAAGGCATATATATCTCCATTGGAATTGGAGATAGGCAGTAACACATGCATACCAGGACGGGAAGGAAGGCAAAGGAGTGGGAAAAGGAAACTTGTAAGGTGAGACCAGGGGAATGAAAAGATAAAAGGAAAAGAATGTATGGTCATGAATCTGAGATTGACATTAATATAAGATGGTTAAGGAAAACTCGCAGGACTTTCCTAAGTCTATTGAAGATACAAAAATGATTTGTGAAACTTTTCATCTGTTGCTATTCTCACTTATCATACTAAAAATGTCTACAAAATCCTAAGCCTTGGTCTGTCCAAGGACAGTTCCAGAAAGGAAAAGGTGTGACTTGTTATCAAGGACTGTGCTCTGTCTAGAACCCTGCTCTGCAGTCAGTCCATATTCCACAGTATTTTGGTCATATCTGCTCTGTTTTCTCGTGCTGCTCAAAATGTCTTACAATGAATCTTTTTTATTATAATGTCATCATCCATTGTATCCCTTTTTTTCAGACTTTGATTTACTTAAAGGGCAGGAAAGGTGTGAAAGAAGACAGTTAAGAAATTTTGAGGAAAATATGAAAAAAAAAAAGAAAAAAGAAAAAGATTCTCATGTCCAAACCCATCCTAGAAAAGGTGGTATGAAGCTTTGAAAAAGACCGCTGATTCATGGACGTCCCCCATTTTCTTATTTCTAGATAATACATCTAAGGGTATCAGTGTAGTAAAATGTTTGGTCTGTGAAATATCATAATCATTAGCACCAAAAGGAGTCATGGAGCTTGTATATGTTATTAAACAATTTTTACTGTTGGTCATGAGAAGAGTTTTCATTTTTACATCCCAAAGGTTTTGAAAGTGCTTGTGGACAAAAGAAATAACACTTTTCAAAATCTCCATGGGGTTATCAGTAAGTACCACAGAGACAGTATTGGCCTTTCCAGTTTTGGTTTACCTGGTAGACAAGAAAACCATGGGCACCAGATTACCACTGAAGCCTAAAGAACAGCCCCACATGCACCCGCTGATACACAGGAGGGATCCCTACATACAGTACATGATCCCCTGCACTGTGTTCAGGAATGCACTTTTACTTGCTTTTTTAAAAACAAAAGCAACATGCTCTGCAGATCATGGAGCACTTAGTGCAATTTTCTCCTTGCTCCAATGCCAGACTGCAAAAGGGTGAAACCATTATGTGTTCTGCTAATGCTGACCTGCAGTTGAGGCCCTTGGCCTGCATGCTTTGTAAGCTCTGGAGCCTACAGGAGTCAGAAGGTCCAAGAGCGGGAGCCATAGTCATTGCCAGATTCCCTAGCAACATACGGCCCACCAAGGCAACTACTGATTCCCTTTGATTCTCTTTGCCTCAGCATTTAGTTGAAATTACAACAAGTCAAATAGCTGATGCTTTTCCCCTCTCCGGGTAAGGGTGACGATACATTGTTCACCAGTGTGTTCTGTCTTGCTTCACTGATGAGTCGGCATGCTAAGTCAAGGAAGAGTTTCTCCACATTATCAGATTCCTTGGCTGATGTCTCCAGGTAATACATGTCCTGAGCCTCTGAGAATTCTTCTGCCCTTTGCTGGGAGACCTCTCTCCTTTCAGCCAAGTCAATCTTGTTGCCTGTAACAATGGTAAAATAGAGAAAGAATCGTCACTTGACTTTGTTTAGGCAGAGAAGCATCAAGATTCAATTCCAGACCTGAAGTCAATTCCAGATTAGATAGATGGGCAGGTAAAGCAATGTAAACATGACCATGCTCACAGGAATGTTTATTCTAAAATACCAGTACCATTTGCAATGACAAAGACAGAAACAATACAAATCACTTGCATAAAATGCAATGCATGTGTTCAAGTATTTAACCCAGTAAAGAAATAAAGCCAATGAGGAATGATCTATACAATGCCATGAATCAAGAATACAAGCAAAGAAAGCAAAGCAGAAAAAAGTATAATCAGCAATGAAAAACTTTGAAGTTTTCACTTTTTGATTATTTAAGAAAATAATAAACCAAGATTGTAATTTAAAAGACAATGATTTAAGCCTAAGTGATAGTGGCACACATCTTCAATTCCAGCACTTGGGAGACAGAGGCATGAGGAGCTCTGTGAGTTCAAGGCCAGTCTGGTCTATAAAGCACGATCCAAGACAGCCAAAGCTGTTATACAGAGAAACTCTCTTGAAAATCAAAACAACCCAAAAAAGACAATGGTCACCCAGAAAGACAATGGTAGAGAGCATAGGGGCAGAAACAGATTTGACTTCAGAGGCTTACATTTTATATAACTTAACAATATAATTCTGTAATTAGTACAAAATTAAAATTTAAAAACAATCTGTACATATTAAACATGTTTGTCATATAATGGCATCAGTACAGATAACTATTTCAAGTAAATTTAAAACATTATTTCACCCTGCATCCCTAGGTGTATACACTAAGGACAAAATGAAGTTTAAGGACAAAGTCTGGCGCTCATTCGGTGGTCACCTTGTAATGGAAGTGTTGTACTGGGATTGGAAGACTGTTACGTGTGTATTAAGGGATAAAACAAGTCATTAAATGCTGATATCACATGGAACTGGTATTTTTGACATGAGAAAGATGAAATACAGCTATGCAATCAATAATATTAAGTAAAAATATTACAGTTTTAAATTATAGAGCTAAGTATCTGTATGAATAATCCATGGTATATTTTATCTTTTAAAAGTTTTCTACTTCTTTTTGTAGGTAGGCTGACAAGTCAACTATTCTACCTGGTACTACTGCTTAAGCGAGCCAATTGATAAATTACTCTGTATATGAGTGATAAACACCTAGTAGAATGCTGTAACACTGGAAATTCCTGACTGCTGATTCTCCATTGGAACAAACTCCCATAAATTATGTTCATGGAGCTGCTCCAATGGGACACACAGACTTCTCAGCCAGTGTATTTCTTGTACTTGGGGGCAAGTAAACTTTGTCTCCTGATTCCTGAGTTGCCCAGGTGTGACAAGAAGCCCATGCCAACCTGCCATCAAGTTAGGTGAATTGTCCTGTATCTTTCTCAGTGAACACTGAGGCTGGGGATTCTAATTACAAACTTTCCACTAGAAAGAAATACCACCCTTAAAGACATGGTCACTTCTAGGTCTGCAGCATGAAATGACATGCCTGAGAATTTGTCATATCAGAGACCAGAGCAATTTTCCCAAAGACTCCTGGAGTTATGTGAGAAGGATTCAGAGGCTCATTTGAAGAAGCTTCCAATGTCAATGATGAAACAATGAGGACATGGGTGGTAATAATTGCACAGGATATGCTGAATGTACACTTCAGTTCAGAAGTCCACAGCATATTAAAAATACAAGTGAATTTCAGTGGTTGTATTTGGAAGATACAGGAAACTAACTCATTACATTAGAAACCACTGAACAACGGGAATAAAAGTCCAGTCATGATGATTCACATCCTTAATCTGGCATTTGTGAGGCAGAGGCAGGCAAATCTCTCTGAATTTGAGGCCAGTTTGATCTACATAATGAGTTCCAGGACAGCCAGAGCACATCCAGGGCAGGGTGGAGGGTGGGGAATGGCAGCACTAATCCTTCCTCCTGTTCTTCCTTTATCTTCCTTATTTAAAATGCTCAACAGTAATGCTTTGATGGACTCAAGTTCTCAAGGGCTTCCTGTGGAATACAAGGACAGTTCAGATCTACGGGTTTTAAATGCTTCGTGGCCAAGGTTCTCCTTTGGTATGGGGGTTTTCAGGACTGGGCCTGAGCAACAGCTCTAAAGGGGCAGCTACCTCACCAGTAGCCAAGAGGAGAAGTGGAGAGGACAGCTACAGTGTGTGGGGAGTTGACCTTACATTGTGTTTGTTGTCAGACAGAATTTCTCAGCATCAGTTTCCTCATCTAAAAATTTGGGCCCTTCATATGATTCCTGGTATTTATACACCATTCATAATGCTTATTATAAAATGTTTGTTCCAGCAAAGCACATTGTCATTCAGGCAACATGGCAGCCTACAGAATAGGAAAAGATTTTTATGAACTATGCATCTGACTGATGGCTAACATCCAAAATATACAAAGAATTCAAGAAACTAGATATCAAGAAAACAACCCAATTAAAAATAGGATACAGATCTAAACAAAATAATTCTTAATAGAGGAAACTCAAATGGCTGAGAAACACTTAAAGAAATGTTCAACATCTTAAGCCATCAGGGAACTACAAATCAAAAGCTCCAGATTTCATCTTTGGCTGGAAAGATGGCTCAGCCATTAAAAGCTAGGCTCACAACCAAAAATATATGAGATTTTATGTTACACCCATCAGAATGGCTAAGATCACAAACACAAGTGACAGTTCATGCTGGCAAGGATATGGAGCAAGAGGGACACTCTTACAATGCTGGTGGGAGTACAAACTTGTACAGCCACTATAGAAATCAGCATGGTAGTTCCTCAGGAAGATAGGGACTGTTCTACCCCAAGATCTATACCACTCTTGGGCATATACCCAAGACTTCATCCAACCAGAGACATTTGTTCAACTATGTTCACTGCTAATTATAATAGCCAGAAAGTAGAAACAACCCAAGTGTCCCTCAACAGAAGAATGGATCAAGAAAATATGGTTCATTTACACAATGAAATATTATTTAGTCATTAAAACAAAATGAAATCATGAAATTCACAAGTAAATAGATGAAACTCAAAGAAGAAAAATGATTCTGAGTGAGGTATCCCAGATCCAAAAAGACAAATATGGTATGTATTCACTTATATGTAGATCTTAACTATTAAGTCAATGATAACCAAGCTAGAATTTATATAACTATGGAGGTTTAATATAGAGTAAGGGACTAGAAGGGACAGAAAGATCTCATTAGGAAAAAGAAATAGAATAGCTAATTATAATTGGATGAGAATCAAATGGGAGGATCAAGTAGCAGGGAAGGAAGGTTGAGGGAGGGAACACATGGAGATACAACTTAAATTAAGGGCCAGTTGAGAGATAGTATGGAAAGCTAATACAATATAGGTTTCCTAAAATATATATATGAAGGCAATCTAAATGAATCACCAAATAATGGGAGAGACAGTCCCAACTGGCCATCTTGTCACTAAATGAAGCTTCTAGTAGTGGAGTTGAGATCTAATTACATTTAATTAGTTGTTGGGATCCCATAGAAATCCGCAAACATCCTAGGCTTTTGCCAAGACTATAGGTTGCTTTCCACAAACTAACAGGGCCCCTATACTGAAGACAACACCTACACAATGCATTGATCATAGAGAAGTCGAGCTGGTGCACACATAGTGCCTTTACCCAAACATTCTAGCTCTTTGGAACAAAAAGTACATTGCATACTACCAGAAGAAAACTGTAAACACCAAGCCAGCCACAAACCCTTGATCTACAAAGCTGTCTTACCTACACGATATGCTAGGGCAATGGTGGCACAAAGCTTGTGGGAGTAACCAACCAACATCTTAAGGCTCGTTCCATGAGATGAAACCCATACCCAACACTGCTTGGGTGACCAATAACCAGAGATTATATAGCCCAGGGAGAGACGTAGGGTAAAACAAACTACTACTATTCTCTGGGAGGGGGGAAGCAATAAAATGACTCCTAATGATATTCTGCCACACTCATAGATCAATACCTTGCTCTGCTATCATCAGAGAAGCTCCATCGTATAACAATGGGAACAAATACAGAAACCACAACCAGACATTATGCAGAGAGTGAAAGATGAAAAACCTTGGAACACTCAGCCTTAAACAGTATGTCTCCATCAAATCCCTTCCCTCAGGGCTCAGGCAACCCTGTCAAAAAGCCAAAGGACACCACAAAAGCAATGCCCTCAAAATCAACACGATCAAAGCACATACGAACCCACAGAGACTAAGGCAGTATGCACAGGGCCTGCTCAGGTCTGTACCACATCTTCTGCGTGTATGTTATGTCTTCTAGTTTAGTGGGGTTTTTATGGGATTTCTGAGTATACAAACAAATGGGTCTCTGATTCTTATGCCTCCCTCTTGGGCTCTTTTCCTTCTATTTGTCTTGTCCAACTCCAATGTGTTAGGTTTTGTTTTAGCCCATTTTATTTTATTATTATCTCTTAGAAGCCTGTTTGTTTTCTAATGAAAGACAGAAAGGGTATGTATCCATATGGGAAAGGAGGTGGGGAGGAACTGGGAGGAGTAGAGGGAGGGGAAATTGCAATCAAAATAAATGGAAAAAAATCAATTTCCAATAAGAGAAAAAATAATAAAATGTTTGCCCAACTTCCTGTTAGCCATAATTTGTAATTTAATGATGCTTTCCGTAGTTTACTCTCTTTCTAAAATTATGAAAGTATACAGCAAAATTCCTTCCCAAGAAGATATTTTAACAAGCAGGTAGCTGATGCCACTTTACATTCTTAACCAGAAGAGTTTATAATGATATGGCCCATTTTATGACAATCTATGTGTGTGCCAGTGTGTATGCCTCCATTTGTGTACAAACATGCATTTGAAGACCAAAGGTCTAACTTGTTCCTCACCTTGGTCCTTGGTTTGGTTTTGTTTTCTGTGATACAGTCTCTTAGTAAGACCTGGAACTCCATGATTAGGCTAGGCTGGCTGGCCACCAATGCCCAGGGATCTTCCTCTCTCTGCCTTTTCAGGGATTACAAGCAAGGGTCACCATATCCAGGTACTAAGAATCTACCTCCAGTACTCATGCTTGTGCAGCAAGTACTTTACCAGCTTAGTTATCTCCCAGGGCCCTGTAATTCCATTTTTAATGAGTGTGTTTGTCATCACAGAAAACCAAGTGTTATTTTCTGGTTTCTCCACATTAAACAGGCCCCCTCCTCCTACAAGATGAAACAAACTACAGCATTTCCTTTAGTGGATTCTGAAACACAGGAGGGATGTCTTAAATCAGCATAAAGTAAGAAGAGAAAAATTTACCAAGGTATATGTTTTAAAAGAATAACTGCTTCAATATGAATTCCTCATCAACTTAACTTATTTTGCTTTTAAACCAGCAGTATCCACCATCTTAAAACTCTTTCACCAACACTGATAGGAAAATCAGCAATATGTTTGTTTATTTTTCTAAATTATCACCATGGGATAGAACTTACTTCATGTCCCCCTCAGTTGTACAACTGAAGGTTGATTATACAACTCCGTTAACTACACAGTATGATCTTGAAAGGTACCAGCACACAAGCATTACATGATCATACATTTTCTGATGATCTAATACCAATTGCCTTCCTCATTAGCCCTTACTTACCCACTAACACAGTGATGACCTTATTGCTAGCATACTGTTCTATCTCTCGCAACCACTCAGGAAGGCAACGGAAGGATTCCTCACAGGTGATGTCATAGGTAAGGATCAAGGCATTGGCACTGCGGTAGTAACTTTGGGTGATTGAACGAAATCTCTCTTGACCCGCAGTGTCCCAGATCTGTAACTGTAGAGGCAGAAGACAGGGATCAGCTTGGAAGAGCTATAGCTCAGAAATGGGAACATCACTCAATTCCATGGTTATTTTCTGCCCTGAAGTATTTCTGGTTTGGGTAAAGGGCTTATTCTCTTTCCTGGGTTTGTTTGTTTGTTTAAGACTTCTTTTTTATCTTATAAAAATTCTATTATGCATTTATAATATTGCAAGCTCTGTTCTATTCATTTTATATGTAATAATAATTTTTACAATGATCCTATAAGATAGGTATCTTATAATACACCACTTCCTTCATCAGGAAACTAAAGTACAGAGAGATCTGTAACTGGTTCAGTGTCTCACAAACAGTTCAACGCTCACTATGGACTCGGTGTTCTTGCCCATAGGCTGCATACACACACATACACACACACACACACACACACACACACACACACACACACACACACACTGCAATAGACAGCAAGTTGTTGCTCTGTGGTCATCGACATTTCAGTCAACAACCAAAGAAAGTACAACAGCCCCAACTTCTCCAGTTTAAAATTCTAATGTGCATATCAAGACATTATCGTTCTTAATGGAAATAGAAATGATGCTATTACAGCCATGCCCTGCCACCACCACCTTAATTAAGCTCTATGACCTTAGGTCACTTTTGGACTCCAGTTCTGTTGAAAATAGGTTTTAATAAGTCATCTACTAGTTCTAAACATAGCAAATGGTTTAATAAGAAAGAAGGAAAAGTACTCCCCAAGCCTCTTCCCTCAACCTCTCTGCAGACAACTCTCTATCTAGAGCAGTGTTTGGGGAAATGAGAACATCACCATCAGCTTCCCTCCTCACTATAAATCCCTAGGTCACAGGTAAATTAACCTCTTTACTGTTACCTCAGGTAAGGCCTTATCAAATCTTATAGAACAGTCTCCCTTTACAATAGCTCATATCATTTAGCCCCTCAGCAACTGACATCTTAATCACGTACTTGAAATAGTTTGTTTAAGGCCTGTCTGGCCTGCTTTATTTAAAACTTCATACAGCAGGAGGCAGGACCTTGTTTTATTCGCCAAATGCAGTGCACCCAGGACAAAGAGCAGATGCTTACATTTTGAACTGATAACCTCAATTGTTTCTTATCCCTTCCCATTGAGGTAAGCAGGCTGAATAAAAAATGCTCTCTTCCACCCAGGTACCCACAAAGCTGGGAGTCAAACTCCAGGTCTTCTATTCCCAGGTCAGAACTGAGTTGAGCACTCCCTGTTGCTTTTGCCATTGCAAGCTCATTTAAATGTACATCTACACCCAGTAGTTACTTGGTGTCACCCTGACCCCATAGCAATTTTGCTGAAGACACTAAGTAGTGACCAGTAGCTCCTGCAGCAAGCCAGTGCCCATTTGAAGTTGCAGCAGCTCTTTGATGATATAAAGTCTATGTGTGCTAAATGCAAATGTACACATGATAGTTTGTGCTGGAACAAAAGCTATTTCTCTTCTCTGCCTCAAAATAGGGCCATGGTCTCCTTCTGCTAAGATGTGCCTTCAAATAGCAAACTATTGTTTTAAAGCCCCGTCCAACCTCTCAAACACTGGATCTGGGTACTATCAATCATTAGAAAATGCTGTGTTCATGACTGGATATCTTGGGGACTACTTTAAGCATCAAAATATTTTCTTAAACAGTGATTTATGGCCTTGCTGAGATGTACGCCACTGCCTGTGTCTAGCCTGACAGCTGATTGTTAAGGATGCTTATATTCTATCATCTATCACTCAAATTAGTTTCATAACCTTTCTCTATGATCCCTCGTCTCTTTTTAGGTGACTGTAACACAATCCCTGATCTAAGAGAGCATGTTCCACAAAGAACCCAAATCCACAACTGGTTAGCAATGTCCTCTCAAGGAGGAACAAAAGAACAGAGTCTCCAAATGTTAGTCTATCATTTCTCAATGTGTCATTAACACTCCAGCCATGGATTTCCTTGCCACTCTCACCTACAGCACAGGGCTACTACACTGCTCGCCTGTTCTCTTACTGCACGGCTGTTGCCTTCCCATCACAGCAATGTCTTGTCATCAGTTTGCTAGGCTGTCATCCTAAGTGGATTAAGTTCTTTGAGGACCAAGGTTATCTCTTTGACTTCATGCCTTTGTTTCCTTCCTAACACAGTATATAGTGGGCACAATTGAACGGTTAACGAGATGAACGTAGGATTGTGGAATCACAAAGGAGGAATTGATTAGTTGTTCTTAGAAGATTAGTCGGGTTTGAAAGATCTGTGACGAAAATGAAAAGATGTGGATTCCTTCCAGACTAATGTGGTTTGATCACACCAGACTGCCTGAAACAGTACAAGGTGATCCTACATTCAAAACAGCTGGACAAAACAGCCCTACAGACTACAGCCAGGATTTCTGAATCTTCTTCGAATCCCCCATGACAGCGCCCCTTACCAGCAGGAAGTAGTTTGGAAAGAACGACGCCCAAATTCCCAAATATTGTGTATAAATGTTTGTTTTCATTTAATTGGACTTTGTTATATAAAATTAAATAAAATAAAAAAGGAAAAAAAGCAGTTAAACTATACACTCAGTAGGTAGATACATTAAAAAAAAAAAAGATCTGTGACAAAATGTTTTCAAGCTAGATATCAGTAAGTTCCAAAAGTCAGTGATACTTCACCTACCATGGTGCTCTCCACAATGCATCTACTCAGTACAAGATGGACAGAGGTCGTCAAAGGAATGAGCATTTATAGCTAGTTCATGGATCTATCTGTGTAACCCAGGTGATTAACGATAAAACAACCTCTTGTGTCAGATGGTGGTGGTGACAATCTTTAGTACAAGAACTCAGGAAGCAGAGACAAGCAGATCTCTGTGAGTTCAAGGCCAGCCTGGTCTACAGAGCTAGTTCTAGGACAGATGAGGCTACACAAAAAAATCCCTACTTCGGAGGTGGTGAGGGGAACCTCTTCTAATCAATCTAAGGTTTAAAAGTAGGCTAAACTTACATTTTTATTTATTATTCATTAATTTGTGATAGGCTAAAAAAAAAATCAACAGGTAAGATTGAAAAATACAGGTGAGCAAGTGAGGTTTAGATCCTGCTTGTCTCCCTTCCAGGTTACAGCCATGATTAAGTAAATTAATTAATTAATTAACCTCTAAAGCTTGTATGGTAAGAGATCATACTAAAAACTAAATAACAATGGTAACATGTAAAAGCATCAATTAGAAACATTAACTTATAATATTCAATGAACATACTGCCTCCTGTTTCTGGACATACTCTACTTCTAAGTACCAAGCCATCTAGAAGCCACCAAGTGAAAGACAGAGTCAAATGTCTTTTCTTGGGCACAGTGGGAGAAAGGATAATTTTAATAAGCAGTTCTTGTGACTGAATTACCTACCCTCCCTACAATGAAATGTGGGGATCAGGAGGCACTGTCAAATAGAGCTTTTATTCAGAAGAGAAACATTATTAGTCCAACTTTGAAATATAAAAAGAAATCCCTACTTTGTTTTCACAAAACTTTGGACATGACAGGGAAATGTGTTTGCCCCACTGTTTTTGTATCTAAACACTTACTATCCCTAAATTGCTTCTGTGTATTTTTTTTCCTTTTGGGACAGGTTCTTGTGTTACTTAGACTGGCCCCCAATTTGCTAGGTTACAAATGACCTTGATTTTGCAATCATTCCACCTGACTCCCAGGTGGGATTACAGGTATGCACTCTTACATCCAGTTTTATGTGGTCCTAATGGCTTAATCCAGAGCTTCCTACATGCCAGACAGACACACAGGCAGAGCTGCACCTCAGTGTATCATTTTCAATGTAGGTTTAAATGAAACAGTTTAATAAATGTTACGGAGGGGGGGGGGTTGACTGTACTTACTCCCCTAAAGACATAGAGAACACATCAAAGATTTACTATAAATTTAGCTTCTTACCTTTACTTTTTCACCATTAATCTCCACTGTCTTAATCATAAAATCAACTCCAATTGTGGCTCCTTGACCTGGGGGGAAAAGACCCTAAGGAAGAAATAATGGCAAATAACATTTGAGCACATCTTCCAATTAAGTGGATTCTCCTCACTCCCACCCCATCCTTTGAGAGAACTGGTACAAAAGAGTACTCTGCTTAGCATCATGTTGGGAAGGAAGGGAAGAAAGGAGTGGAGAGGAAAAGGGAAAGAGGAATGCTGACAGAAGCACAGAAAAGAATGATAAAGCAAGAGGCTGACTGTAAAGGAGGGAATCTTGAAGGGACAGTGAGAGATGCTGGTTTCTAAACAGAAAACTGAGACATGAGGATAAGAGTGGGGAGGAATGAGTCACCAGAATGACATCAGGGCTGTTAGGATGCAGAAAGAAAAGGTAAGGCTAGTTAAAGCGAAGAAGGAGTAGAAGGTGGAGAACTCTAAGAGTGAGAGAAAGACATGGAGCTTCTGAGTTCTCCTGGGCCTCAGGACGGTCACCAGCCTGAGGAACACTGTATCACACACACAAGTACACACAGTCCAGACAGTCACACACACACAATTATACAGTTCAGATGGGCACATACGCAATTACACAATCCAGACAGACACACACAATTACACAGTCCAAATGGACACATACATAATTACTTACAGTCCAGGAAGACATACACATACACAATTACACACATTCCGAACGGACAAACAATTATACACAGCTCAGATGGGCACACACACAATTACACAGTCCAGATAGACACACACACAATTATACACAGTCCAGATAAACACACACACACACACACACACACACACACACAATTATACAATTCAGATAGGCACATACACAATTACACAGTCCAGACAGACAGACACATACAGTCCGGATGGACACACACACACGTACACAATGACATACAGTCCAGAAAGACAAACACACAATTATATACAGTCCAGATGGATGAAGTCATTAGAAAGACAGCACAGTAGAGGCAGCAGGTGACGCCAGACAAACCACTCCCCCTCTCTAGACCTCAAAATCATTGAGCTTGAAGTTGCTGTAAGCAAGAAATAGTAGAAAAGTGTATTACCTTAATGAAAACATAAGTTTTAAGACAATCAGTACATTAGCAAAAAATGCAATTAACTTTTTCATATTTCCTGTAAGCTTAGGAGAGGGTGGAGGTAGCGAGGACTTCCACCAAGAAAAAAGTCTTTACCCAGTCTCTCTTCAGATTGCAGAATTCCAGGAATAAAACAAAATGGACTTTATTAGCTCTTGCAGCTAAGCAAAAGCTTCATTGCATATCTGCAACTTTCATAACCCTATTTACAAATATTTAACCAATTTTCCTTTTGGGCTTGGTACAGACAGAAGGCTGCAGCTGTTTGCAGACTAACAAATGCCCCCCAAAATAAAAACAATCTTTCCCAAGCACCTCCCCCACTTTATTCCCCAAACCTTCCTATCTCAAAACCAGCTAAATCCAATTCATTGTAACTGCTTACTAAATAATAAAAACATACATAATCCTGTCTATGAAATGTGAACTTTAGGGAAAGTTGAAGGGATAGAGATAAAAAGTAAGAGAAGAAAAAAAACGTGCTTGTTGGTAGAATTACTGATCAAAAATGAAAACACTTCCATTTTTAACGGCAGGGTTTATCTTACAATTTTTGGGAGAGTGGTCACAGAGGTTGGAGAATTGTGGAAAGATCACTGGGTCAAAAAATAGCACCCTAGGACCCCAGCTTTCCTAGCTATATGCCTCAAGATCACAAGTATGTCACTAGGACCTTCTGGATCTGTATGAGGGGACTGAAATGAATAAAAAGACTCTGTCAAGCAAACTCTTAAAAAGCCCTAAGAAACAAACCTTTCTCTGTGGAAAATATGAGGGCATGTCCTCCTTACAGAAGTGAGAAAGACTGCTAAGGTTCGGTAGATGTGAAACCAGCTGGAGTTTCCACTATCTCTCAGTGATAGGTGGCTGAACTCCAGATGCTGGTTGGCTTTTTACTTTTGATTTCATCAGACCAAGACTCGTTGAATGCATGAGCTCCTTCCTGTCTGTGGTCACTCAGCATGGAAAAAACCATGACATTTCAAGCAACCATGAGCCCTAAAGCCATTTGGCCTTTCCAATCTGCTACTCCAGTTACCCATGGACTCACAGGCTGCAGTGAAAGGGGCAAGGGAAGGTGGGCATCAGGAACAAGACTAGCAAACCTTAAGTCAGAGCTTTCCCTGACACCAGCACACCTTAAGCCTTAGGAGAGCTCATATCCAGTTCCCAAAGCATCTGCCACAAAAACATGCTATACACATGATGATCCAGAAAAGGGCACCATCTGGGTTTTTCAGTGGAAAACAAAATCAACTTGAGAATGATTATTCACTAATTTCTATACAAAAAACAGATACAAATACATAACCTTGGCCAGTGATTCTCAAGAGGCCACCCATGGAGGGGACTTAGGTCCTATGAGAAAGAACCAAATCAGAAAGTATATTCAGTTCCATTCAGGTACTTCACTGCCCTCAGCTTATTCTGACTTAAGAGATGTAGAAAGCACGCCGTTTGGTTATAAACCAAGAGAGTTCGCTGTATTTTTTGGACAAGAATGGCCAGAGGCAGAAAAGCTGGGGTTTAATCTGAATTGGGGCTTTTCAAAATATTTGGACTCGGTTTAATGCCCAGATTAATTTGCTTCCACCTTTAGATGATTATGAGCTACAGGTCTATTTTGTAAACCAACTCTATTTTTGATACTATATACTGAAAACAAAACTGCCTGCCCCTTTTTGTATGAGGAAGCAAGATGAGGTGTGGAAGCCCTCAGCACCATGCTCCCTCCGGCAATTTAGAAAACCTTTGGCTATAAACTTGATGGAGCTTTCAAAGGGTGGCTTAAGAACTTGTAGCCCAGGGGTTAGTACCGGACCCAATCACCCACCCAGCAGATCATCACAGCTGAGACAAACAAACCCAACCCTGGATTCCAGATTTCCCTTACCTGAGTGAATCGTCGGACTAGGCACGTCTTTCCCACTCCAGCGTTGCCAATTAAAACAATTTTGAACAGGAAATCATAATCTTCCATACTCATTTACACGGCTGCAAGCAAACACAGGCAACAGTGAGAAAGGACAGGCAGACTTCCCTAAGAGCTTAAGGCTGCACCAGCCCCTGCTCCACAGAAACAAGAGCTCTGACTCATCTGAAGAGCAACTTAAGGCTCCTCTCTGGTGATGCTGCCAGCGAAAGAGGAACGTAGGTGTCTGGTCACAGGTGGACTTCATTCTCCCTAGCTACCTCGTGCTGCAGAGAGTAAATGACACACGTGCCCTTTCACCTGGTAATCTTTATTCCTCCAAGCTGTCAGGTCATAGGTCCTCAAGTGATAAGCCATGTTTTCTTTTTGTGTGGGAAGCCAGGCTAACCAGGAGTACAGACAAGTAGGGAGAGAGGAGATTCAGAGATCAAGACAATTAACAGGCTGTGTGAAGAAAATGATAGCTGCCAGGAGGCCAAAGGAAAGAAAGGAAATTACAAATGGCCCTTCACTCAAATGGCCCTTCACTCTCATGCAAGTCCTAGGTTCTTGGGGATCATACCATTGGGTGATCATCTTGCCCTTCCCATTTCTACCCCATTTCTATCTACCTCCAGTTTCTCACTACTATCCCATTTTTCTCTACCTCCTACCAACGACAATGGTGCTATATGGCCTCCAGTCTTCTAATTGCAAGGAGCTGTGCTAAATCCTCTCCTCTACGGGGGTTGTCCCCCTTCTGAATTTTACTTCGAGATCCAAGCCCTTCAAGGCCCAGTGCACGCCTCTCATTTTCTCTGAATCTTTCACTGGCCTTCCTCGAATAGGTAATAAAAGTAAAGTGGTGATTTTTCCCCATTCCTCCATGTCAGAACTTTACTTGCTATACATTCATTTGTTCAAATGTCTGCCTTACCCTTGAGGGAAGGGACAATGTCTTCCAATTCTGATTCCTAGTCCTAGAGCAGAGTCACACTTAGTAAATGTCACTCAGTAGACAAAATGACTTAATTAATGGGTTTATTGTTAAGATGTGGACATTTGTTCCTCCGATTGTGCTAAGAAGATTACCATTGAGTAACTTAGAGGGTCATCAAGAACTGAAACAAAGTCTCCCATAGACCTTGGTACCCATCAAGGCCAATACTTACAAAACAATCATAATCTGAATGCCTCCTGTGCCATTCTGCTATCACCAGGAGGCATCTGCTCCAAGACCAACATGAGAAAGCATAAATGTCAACTAGAATGTAGAGTAACAATCTAACACTCAGGAGGCCGGGGCTAGAGGAACTTTGAGTTTGAAGCCAAACTGGGCCACATAAGGAGACGGTATCTCAAACAACAAAGTTAAGGAATAATTCTAGCTAACTGTTGAAGATTACTGTGTCTTAGGCAGAAGAGGAATAGTTTCTGGAGGAAAAAGAAAAAGACAGTGAATTCTGGAGACAAGTTTCTTCAGAGGTTGAGGGAAGCATCAGGCTTACTCCTACCAGGAGACCTTAATCTCAGTGACAATGGCTTGCAGGTGGAAAATCCAATGTGCTCAACCTGTCAAGATGATTTGTTTGTGGAGACCAACAGTCCTTGGAAGATGACTGAGAAACATGCAGGCAGATGCTCATAGGGTTCTGTCTCATGTCACTGAACTGTGAAGGAAGAACACTTCTCTGGGCAGGAATCTGAGCCCATAAAAAATGGCTCCACTGCCTATATGCCTTGCACTATACTTGACCCTTTATGTATATTTCCTCATTTGCAATAGTTCATGAGGCTATTATTGATTAATACTGTATGTAATTTGAGCAAACTGAGGTTGAGAGAAACCAAATCCTAACAGCCAAATTTTGGGTTCAAAAGGCATTAGTGATCAAAGAGAGAACAAGGTTCAAATGTTGGCTGTTGTATTTTATCAGTCTGTGCCTTTGGAACATTAACAAAAAGGGACTCACCGGGCCTGTATCACAGAACTGTGGTGGCTGACAGAATCAGAAGTCTTGAGGACAGTACTTGGTCTTGGTAAAGCAAAGCCCTTGAACTCATTCATGAGTTTCCATCACCTACTTTCTCTCTCTATGGCTAGAGTCACATCTTACCACCTCCTCGAAACTCTCCAAGGTACACTGTTTTTCCCCAGCTTCTGAAATACCACAGCTTTGCTTTTCTCCTCAAACCTTTCTGGCTACAACAAGAGCCAATGGCCACCTGTCACCTCCCCTGACATCTGGCTTTCACTTCTGCTTTAGCTCTCAGCTGAAGCATCACATCCTTTAGTGTGTTTCTCTGACTGGAGAGGCCAGGGCCCCCTGATTTCTACTTCCTAATGCCTTCTTCCTCTTAGACAGTATTAGGCACCATAATCTATTTAACTATGTGTATCTGCCTTCATCCCTCCTCCACCCCTCAGCATCTCAGTGCTGCTTAAACACAAGAACTCACAATGTGTGCACATTGTGTCTGTAATCAATACCACCATCACCATCTTCTCCATCATTTCCATCATCTCACAATACTAATTACTTAACCTCACAACAGTCCTACAAGGCACTGCTGAATTTTTAACGTGGCAGATAAAGATTATAGAAGCAAAAGAAAAGTTAAGGAAGAAAAATATCATGAAGCAGCCCTAGATTTTGTTTTATATTCAACAAAAACTTGATAACTACATTGTCAATGCTTTAAAATATTCCTTTATGGGGAGGGGAGGGAATGGGAGGAAAGAAAGGAGGGGAACCTGCAGTTGGGATATACAATAAGTAAATAAACTAAAAAAAAATTCTTTATTTCCATCTACTGTTCCTAGTGAGATATGTACTAATATGAATTTTTTTTTCTCTAAAAACATTTCAGAATGTCATTTCTCTTTGATGGTCCATAGTATAGCAGATTTAATGTATGTTTAAAGTTTTTCAATAAAAGAAGTTTCCAAATCACAAAAAAAGAAAGCACTGAGTTCCTACAGTTCATACTTAGAGGAGCTGAGAGTCTAATTCAACCTTGGCTCAGTTGTTCAATAGTTACTTTCCCCAGGCCTGGTGCACAAGAAGAGCTCAAGAAAGATGTGATAAATTGAACAATGTAGGATAGGCACTTTATACATGAGTTTTCCCTTTTCGATTGCCCATCTTTTCAAATGCAAAATCGTCTCTTATTGTATCACACTACCTAAAACAGAATCAATGCTAGACTCTTGATAAATCTTAGGGAGATGGCATGCCAGTTAGAAGCCTGCCATTAAAACTGAAAAGAAGACACCACACTGGTGATCCCAGAACTTGGGAGGTGAAGGCAGGAAAATTATCAAGGCCTATACTGGTCTATACTAGGAATTCCAGGCTAGCTAGCCAAGACTAAATACAGAAACTCTATCTCAAAAAATAAAATTAAAACGTGAAAAGAAACAATACTGAGCATAAGATAGCAGGGAGACCTGAAGCTGTGTGGACCAGGACTCATCATCCCTTTAGTAAATCAGAGACAGGAATTGTGGGACTGGGCTGTATCCTTTTCCTGGGCATAGATGGTTTGACACACTTTTATTTCTAATTTTTGCCATATGTCAAAGAAACACCAAGAAATCTGAAAAAAACAAATGTCCAAATACAGACACCTAAGAAACTGGGCTCTTAAAGGAGGGTTATCAATGCCCAAATTATACCTTTGATATGAAGGAAAGATGGTGGCCCAATCACAAACAGCCTGGGCTCGAATGACTACCAGCTGGACCAAACTACAAAACAAAAGATACCCTTTCTATAAGAAATTAACTTTAATGCTTCGTTCAATGTTTTTGTGTAACTATATTTGAACCCAGAGTCTCACACATGCTGATTACATGTTCCACCACTGAGCTACACGTGAACTCTGAACATTTTGTTAAATGAACCTCAGGGGCAAACAAGTCTGGTCTCTGTACAATTGCAGGCTTTGGTTGGTTAAGTTAGGACTGTGCACTCCAGGTTACATGACAATGTAACTGTTCCACTTCTAAGAGAAAACACATTACATCTCTGGGGGAAGTCCTGTTTTGGGCCATAATATAAACACCCCAGATGTTGTCAATCACTGTGATGAGACAGTATCCCGGGAGGGAGAACCTCAGAAACCGATTAACCCAGCTCTACAGTGACAATAACAATCATACCTTGTTGATTGTTGCAAGCTGTGCTACTCACCAAGCATATTATAGAAATTTTCCATTCTGTTAGCAACAGTAATAAAGGCTGACACTTGAGGCTTATTGTGTACTGGGCCTTCTCCTACATGTATTTACTCACAGAGTCCTCACAACAACACTATGATGTAGGTACTCTTATCACCTATGAGCCATTGTGACACAAGACAGAATACTGCCACCTCCAGCCTTGTGACTGACAATGTCACTGTCTGAAGTTCAGGTGAATGGTCCCCATGCCCTTTTAACACAGTGGCCTAGCAAGCCCTTGCTGCTATAGCATCAAACCCTTACTGATGGTTCTGCACACTGATTGCAGGCCATCTGCTGCTGCTCACTATGGCCCCTCCCCCAGCACACTCTCTCTGGAGCCAGACTTAGATCCCCTCAAATACCACTCCCATAACTCACTGTCATTCACCCATATAACTAAGTATCTGGCACAGAGGGATGGGAATGAACAGAACACTGAGGTGAACAAGTGAAATCCCAAATGCTATAATTACCACAGTAGTTCTAATCAAATGGATATGTGTATGAGATTCAAAAAGGAAAAGGAAATAGATGAGGAAAAAAGAGGAAGGAACTGTTTAAAGATACAGGAAATGAAATTGAGTGTTTTTTTAAAAGCTAAAAAAAAAAAGGAAGAAAGAAAGAAAGAAAAAAAGAAAGGAAGGAAGGAAGGGAAGGGGAGGGAACGGAAGGGAAGGAAGAAAACTATCTAGAAAGAAAAGAAGGAAGCCATCCAGAGTTAGAGATTTGGCAACATGTACCTTTCTTTTTTTTTTTAAGTATTCATTAAAACCCTGTGTTCACTGTTGTATCCATATACTTTCCCCTTGTCCTTTGGGGTTCGGTAAAACAGATAAGCTCAGAAGCCATGTCCCC